GTCAAAGTCAGCAAAATCGCTGATTTGTAAATATCGCTGACACATCAAAATTCGCAAGAGCATAATTTCATCAATTTTCCATCAAATTTCGTACTTTTTGTTTTATTACCTTCACAAAAAGATTCTCTACCATTTCATAAGAAAAAATAATTTTTTTTTTTTTTTAAATTCTTGGACACTGGGGCACCACTTCAGATTTGGGCCTTGGACCCTGAAGGGGTTAAGCCACATTGCACACATTTCCTTAATCTTTGAAGTAGGCAACTTCCTCAATTTCTCTATCCCCCTCCTCCGGAGCAGTTTCCTCAGGTCTGGCCTCTTGCTGTTGAAGATGATCTTGCAGCTCATCAGTGGTTAGTTCATCATTGTCGTCCTCCACCAACTAACTCCCCACTAACCTCCAACCCCTTAGCAATGATCTCTTTCTTCATATCCATAGTAATTCTCACCGTTTTTGCTGTAGGGTTGGCACTAGAAGCTTTCTTGGGGCCCATGGTGACTTATTTTGCAGGTGCAATCACTAAAAACGCTGTGATAATATGAAATGTTCCGATTGTATGTTTGGATGGGACCGCGGTGGCTGGCTGGCTTGTAAACACTGGCCGCAAGTGGACGCGTCTCGAACGGAACGAATCGCGTTGGTCGAGTTTTTTAGCACTAGTCGAGGAAAAATTTTTGCGTTAAAATGTATCGCTAGTCAGATTTGTTCATGATTGTAGCCAAAGTATAAACGTAAGTAACCATTCTAAAGAATTCATTACCTTTGTAACTTGTGAGCTCATTACCTTTGTACCTAGTTCAGCTATCAAAACTTTGGGGGCCCAGTCCCTGGACCCATTACGTACCTCTGTAATCTGTAAATACCTTTGTAACTTGTCATGATTGTGACCAGACTTACCTGGAGTTCATTACCTTTGTAAATTGTGAGTTCATTACCTTTGTAAATTGTGAGTTCATTACCTTTGTAAATTGTGAGTTCATTACCTTTGTAAATTGTGAGTTCATTACCTCTGTAACTTGCTCAGCTATCAAAACTTTGGAGTCCAGTCCCTGGACCAATTATGTACCTCTGTAATCTTTTGACTACCGCCCACAGGATGGGTATGGGGTGCATAATAAACATATTAAACTAACTAACTAGTCAGATTTAACGTTAGACGATGCCATCGTTGGTCGAGGGTCCACTGTATATTAACCCCTTGACTATCGCAACCCCCAATCCTGAGGTGTCTCCTGGTGTCGCAAAATTTAAAAAAAAAAAAATAACTTTTTCTTATGAAATGATAGAGAATTTTTTCCCGATTGTGATGACACCAAAAAAATGAAATTTGATAGAAAACTGACAGAATTACGCTCTCACAAAGTTAGCGACCTCGGCGATATTTACAAATCGGCGATTTCGCGCACTTTGAGCCCTATTTTCGGTTAATTCCATTGGTCCAGTCGACCAAACTCATAGCTATTTCTTTAGAACTCCATTTTTTCTATCGATTGAGTACAAGAAACTGCCAATTTACCAATTTCAACTACCCAATAACATGGTCAGAAATTTGCAATTTGGCCAATTTCACGAAAATTAAAAAATATGACAATTTCAAAATAATATCCAGAATGAACAATGCAGACATTCCTGGCTCTAAAATAACATTTTCTTTGTTCATCAGTCATGTCTCCAGGCCCCTCTGATATTACTCTTGCTTTCTATTTTGAATTTTTATTCAAACAAAAAATAGAAGATTTACTATTATGGAGACTACTGCAATAATTGTATAAATAACATCAACCCATTCATGACTGCATATTAGAATGGCTAGTTGGACATTTATTGGACAATGACATCATTTGTTTACTTTTGAACATGGGCAAAAATCAAACATTTCCCCTATTTGAGCTCCATTTCCAGGTTCTTTTTATAGTAAAATCAATCAAAATCACCTCTATTTCTATAATATGTTTTCCATTCTATCAAATGAGACCAAGAAAATGAGAATACAACCATAAATACTATACGAAAATAGACCACAAAGTCAGCATTTTAATTAAAAAAAAACGGTCGGAGTTTTTTTTTTCTAATTATGCACTGCATGCTCCAGGATTTTTTTTATATGGTGCACACTGACCACACAGACCCATTCTCTCACATGTGGGCCTACCAGCTTTCTCCTCCTTGATTTGAAGCCTCTAGAATTTATGAGTATATACATGTCAAACACGGTACCTTGTAAGACGTATATATACGGCCGCGATAGTCAAAGGGTTAAAAGTCCCTTTGCAGATCATTATCAAGTAGTGATGGGATTATCCCAAATTTTGCCAAGAGAAGCATCAAATTTTGCGGATACCCACTGAAACTGATAGATACCACCAAAATTTGCTGATGCCCAAAGATATCAATACTCAGTTTCAAGCCAGCACTGATACCATCAAAAATAGCCGATACCCACCGATACTTTGTCACCCCACTTTTAAAAAAAACCCTCATTGTTGCAACCCCCATAATTAACCCTTTCAGGGTCGAGAGGTCCTCTCCTCAGGGTCGAAAAATTTTCGGGGGGGGAAAAAATTTTTCTTATGAAACAATAGAGAATCTTTTCCTGATCATAGTGACACCAAAAGTATGAAATTTGATGGAAAACTTATGGAATTATGCTCTCGCAAAGTTAGCAGTCTCAACGATGCTTACGCATCGGCGATTTCACCCACTTTGAGCCCTATTTTCAGCCAATTCCTCTGTACTAGTTGACAAAATCCTTTATTTCACTAGAACTCCATTCTTTCTATCGAATGAGTACAAGAAACCACCCATTTACCAATTTCAACTATTCAATAAAGTGGTTAGAAATTGGCAATTTTGCCAATTTCACACAAATTTCAAATGATGCCAATTTCCAAATAGGGTCCAGAATAAACAAGATAGACATTCCTGGCACTAAAATAACAAGTTCTCTGTTCGTTAGTCACGTCCCCAGGCCCCTCTTACATTCCTTTTGCTTTTCACTTCGAATTTTTCTCACAAAAACTCGAAGATTTACTGTTATGCAGACTAGTGCATTAGTGTAGAAATGGTATAAATAATATCAGCGCACTTGTGAAAGAATATTAGACTCACCAGTTGACGTGTATTGGACACTTGGCATGATTTGTTTACTTCTGAACTTTGGTAAAAATCGAACCTTTCTGCTACTTTGAGCTCAATTTCAAGCTGTACTTTTTTTCTTTGTAAAACCAATCAAAATCATCTCAATTTCTGTAATATGTCTTCCATTCTATAAAACGAGACCAAGAAAACTAGAATACAACAATAAATACCATACGAAAATACAGTGCAAAGTTGCTGTTTTAATCCAAAAACACGTTCAAAGTTTTTTTTTTCTCATTACGCACTGTGTGCTGCAGGATTTTTTTTATACTGCGCACACTGACCACAAAGACCCATTCTTTCATATGTAGGCCTACCAACTTTCTCTCGCTAGATTTGAAGGCGCTAGAATTTAGGTGTTCTAGTACATCAATAACTGTGGTGCGTAAGCCGCACTAGTACGTCGGAAACCCTGAAAGGGTTAAATGCAAGAAAGTGCCTATTCATTTATCAAAATTACCCTATAAAACAACCATAAGTTAATCAATACTTTGGCTAATTTTACACAAAATTCATTAAATTCAAATTTATAGACAAAGTCCAAGACAAACTCTATAGGCAGTTCAACCACTAATACGACTAAGAAATATTGGCCATGGTTTAGGCTGTTCCAATATTCAAGACCACCTAATAAAAATATAAAACAGACCAGGGAAGGGGGGCAGCAGAGGCCTGGTCGTGGACCAGGCCACGGGGGCGTTGATCCCCGGAATACCCTTCAGGTAGACCCTTCCTTAGGAAAATCACCAAAAAATAAATACTTTTTTTCTGCCACTCTGAAACCTATTTCAAGCCATATCTGTTATAAAGTGACCAAAATGATATCTCCATTTCACTAATGTGTCTTCCGTTCTATCAATTACTACTAAGAAACAGCCAATTAGCTGTTCTCATCATGCACTACATGGGACAGTTTTTTATACTGTGCACACCCACAGCACAGACCCATTCTCTCATTCCTAGGCCAAAATTTACCAATCACAGCATAACTGACGGCATTACAATTAGGATGTAGATCTACACAAGTAACAGTGAAAGGGTTAAGTGACAATGCCCCACCAGATATTAAATTAAAGATTATGAGGCACTACAGCATAAAACTGAAGTTGACAAATTTCTAAACTCCTGAAAACAAATGGAATATTGTTCTGACATACCAGAAGTAGGGATCATGTTGCTCACATGTGATGTCAGAATCAAATTCAACACTGCTGTAGTTGCAGTTGTATCTAAGTGCTTTAGTTAAGGTTTGGTTGAGAATGCAAGTGTTAGGCTACATTATTTCCATCATACTGTCCTTGGGACAATCATGTATACTTCTTTCTGCTGTTCAAATGGTATATACAATTAACATCCCTAAACATTGGTATTATTATAATTAAAAATTATTGCATTTTCTCCTGATTTAGTATAAGCATTATTCAGGTGACAAACTATTTCAACATTAATTCTAATTATGAATAATAATGTACGAAATACTTACTTATACTTATTTATTAGACTGATTTACGTATATATATGTATATCTTTGTTAGTTAAAATCTTGACGAGGAGCTGCCGAGCTCTGAAGACCTTATTATTTGCGTAACATGCCCTCAAACAACCAGAAAAAACAAATACTTCATATATTACCATCCCAAACAACAAAATAATATACTTAAGCGTTATTTGGAATAATATAGCAGATGAGGAGAGGAGAACCGAGTGAGTAATAAGTGTGAGTGTGACTTTGTTTTGGTTGTGGTTTGTGACAGTTGTGAGGGGCCGCCCACCTGGGCGTCCCCGCCCACCTCCACCCCCACACACACTCACACTCACACTCACACACACCCTCACATCCTCTTATACACACTCCACTCACCAATATCTATGATCTCAAGGAGGTAAATCGATAGTCCAGCCTAATTCATAACAATCAAGTCTTCTGCAATATGGCGATTAGTAAACTTGTCATGGCGGGGGTAATCGATAAGCCTTTGTTCTCCACTCCGCATTACATTCTGTATATGTGCCACAGACCTAGACGAATAAATTATGCAATAATATTTACGTTTTATTTCGTGGGAAAAATGACGGGTATAGAGAAAGTGTGGGTGATAATGGAGGGTGTGATGATAGCATTACTCTAGCCAGGACGCGCCTCAACAGCTGATTGCTGGGATGATTCACTTACATCTCAATACTTGAAAAATGTATTTATTGGAAATACAATCTATGTGGGGAGTTTAGGACATTATACAGCATCTCTACACGCTCTCTGTATGCTGCAAGTTCGCATGTATGTATATGTTTTTAATTTACTTTGACATAAACTGTAATAAAATATATTACAAGTTTTGTGTTGAACTAAATGCAAAATTTGTATAAATTTTATATTACTTTGTATCTGGGCTTTCAAATCTTGTTAGGAAACCAGGTTTTAGATGTAAGATATAATTAAATAGTGTGATCAGAGGTTGCACAAGTTATATACGTAAGTCACAAATGACTCTCCTTAAGGCATTTGACGATATTAGTTCTCCGATTTGAAAAAAAAAATATCTTTTTACACCTGTTACTCGAGTTATACATTTGCATGCATTTTGAAAAAATATTAAACTTTTGGCATCGTCTTTCAGGTCTTTTATTTTTGCCTTGGGTTCCTCAACAAATAATAAGCTTGCATTTTTTGGGGGTTGCATCATCATTACTCATTAATTTGTAGAAAATACTACACTAAAGTTTCACTGTCATCATAGGTAAGATTGCCAGATTAAAAGTTCTGAGAAGGACTTGTGTATGGCTGGTCCATCCCCAGTCATATCTCTCAAGATTGCTTCCTCTATATAGTAGTATTCATGTGGTGTAGGACTTAATGATGCTAAATATTTAGCAGTTATATATGATGAATATAAAACAATTGGAGAACAAGAGAATGTATGAAGGATCACAAGAATATATTACTAGAATATTGTGACATTGCAATAATAAATGTAGTGATACTGTATGTATACTTTACTATATAAGAATATACACCATAATGATGTATGCTAAATAAATGGAACATGATTACTTCACTAAATGGGGAAATAACTCAATAAATGAATATTAACATAACTGCCCTATATCTTAGGCTCACCTCCCTGTAGACAGTGATCTACCTATCTGCTTATTATTACCCTAGTTAGTGAATATCTGAAGCTTCATAATCTGATTCCAGACTAAAAATAAAAGAGTGTACCTTGCAAAGTGTGTAGAAGATGCAAGATATCAATCTGCCAGGATTCAGCATTGTCTGAAGAAATGATATGGTTATTTACAAATCATATGGCCTCTGGGAAGAAGCTGGATTCTGTGGAGAAAGTTCTTAAATAGCTGAGCATGAAGCATGGGTGTCAGTCTTATGGTCCTTGAACCCAGCTGTTACTGATGGAGATGATGTACACATTCAGAAATCCACTTGCCAGAGAAGTAGGAACAGTGTTCATTTGTGATAAGCAGAGTGTCAAGCAATGGGAGGAACTCTTGATAAAGAAAAACTTTGGTTGTCATACTCTGTAAAGTCAAGAACCATCAAGTTAGAGGGCCTCAGAGAGCAGTGAGGAATATATATCAATTGCAATACTGTGATGGAAATATCCAATCATAGAAAAAAAAAATTGAAGATATGCAAAATGCTGTCAGGTCCATAGGCATTGTTTGTCATACATTATAAAAGATATGGTAAGGGGGATACAGTACAAAGGTGGGGAAACCTTTGATACTTTTTGGCAAGACAAAGACCAATGTTTCAAGTCCCTCCAATAATCCACAAAGGACCCACATATTGGATACCTGGAGGTGACAAGACTGGTGAATTGCTGAGACATTTAGTTGTTCTGGAGAATGAAGGTAGAGGGTAAATCTTTCACTTCAGAAAATCAGTGCTGTCCCCAAGAGACTGAAAAAGAGGGTTGAAGTAAGGAAGTGAGTGTGACAAAATTAATTTTATTAACAAATGCATAAAACCAGTAAGGGTGGCGAATTTGAGAAGCCTACAAGTTTGTTGTAAAGGTAAATTAATAGTAGTAATGAATTATGAGATGACCCCAGCATATTAATGTAATGAGAAAGATTTACAATTCTTACCAGACTAAGAGGACAGCAGCTTGATTGGAAACATGTAGAGCAGCTCATCAGTCAGATGATTAGGTATCTATCAGCAGAATAAATATTGGTTCATGTGAACTAATCCCAGTAGATACACTGCAGAGTATCCTTGCAGAGTATCCTGATGGTCTTACATACTTTTGTTGTGTGTTGGATATGAGCATTAAATTTTAGTTTGTTGTTCATGATTGGGCCCAGGAATTTTTTTTTTTTTTTGGCCTCATTGATTATAATGTCTAATTGAAGACAGTTTATTCTCATAAATTGTAGTTTTTTTTTTTTTTTAATATTAAGGATGAGTGTGTTGGTAATCATCCAAAGATGAACCTTTTTTTTAGCTCACTGTTAGCTCTGGTGCTTATTCATAAAGGGTCTAAGCCAGATATAAAGATTGTGTCATCAGTAAAAAATTCAGGTTTCAGATACTGGAGGCATTAGGTAGGCCAGTGATAATATATAGATGGGAAAAGAGGATTGCCCAGAATACTACCTTGGGGGACACCTAAATTTGCTAGTAAAGTACTAGAAGAAATGTCATTAATGGCTACTTGCTGTTGTCTGTCACTGAGGGGTGACTGAAAATATACTTAAGTGTTCCCTCTGAGTCTGTAATGAGGAGAGTATTGTGGTCAATAATATCAAAAGTCTTTCTCAGATCAGTAAAATGTCTGATAGGAAACTCATTTTTTTCTGTGATGAATAAACTGTGTTGAACATTTTTATTACATATTTTTCAAGATCTGAATTCAAATTGACAAGGAATGAACATACTGTGCTTGGTTAAGCATGTGTACAGCTGCTTGTAGATTACTTTTGCAGATAATACTGTATTGGTAGATTAGAAGTTGGTCTATAGTTATTAACATCATTTGGTTCATCATATTTGTGAAATGGTTTTGAGTACATCTGGAAATTTTTGTTTCTAAAGTGACTTAAGTTAATCTTAAGTTAATTTTAAGCCTGCCCATAAATAAATACCGATTGTACAGCAATGCAAGCTACCATACGACCTGTTTTTGTAATACTCATTTGTGCTTAATTGTTATCTGTTTACAATAATGTTTTACCACTGAATACTTCATTGCTTAGTTAATCTTAAGTTAATTTTAAGCCTGCCCGTAATGCTATGCATTCAAGTGGCTTTGGCATGCTGCACTTAACTGTATACTTTTGTACTTCTCTGTATCATGTTCAAATTAATAAATAAATAAAAAATATAAATGAAAAGTATTGCAACACCTACATCTGTAGATAAAAAAAGACATTTTAGTTGTGCTACCAGCTGTATTTTTAAACAGTTTTATTATTGAAACCATTTCTGCAAAGGTGATAAGAGCAAAGTAGAATGAATCACAATACAGTGGTACCTCGAATTTTGAACAGCTCCCAACTCGAACAATTATGAAAGTGTATTTTTGTAAGTACTTTTGTAAGTGTATTTTTGGGGGTCTGAAACGGACTAGTCGAATTTACATAATTCCTTATGGGAACAAATTCGTTCGGTAACGGTACCACTGTAATTGCCTACCAGATAGTTGTTGTTTTTTGAGTGTTGCTTGAGAGGGTTTAATTTAAGAACATAAGAAAGAAGAAACACTGCAGCAGGACTACTGGCCCATGGGAGGCAGCTCCAATTCTCTCACCAGCTTAAGCCAGTGCTTTGACCTAGTCAAATCAGTCACATTCACTTAAGGGGGGTGCACGGCATCCGACCTAGTAGCACAAGCTAGTAAGGTCCAACTCGCACCCACTCATGTATTTATCCAACCTATTTTTAAAACTACACAACGTCTTAGCTTCTATAACAGTAGTCGGGAGTTTGCTCCCCTCATCCACAACTCTATTACCAAACCAGTACTTTCCTATATTCTTCCTGAATCTGAATTTTTCCAATATAAAACCATTGCTGTGAGTCCTGTCTATTTATTTATTTATTTATGTATTTATTTATTTAGTAATTTAAGCATACATACAGAGGTACAAAAAATACAGGTAAGAGCAGCATGCCAAAGCCACTTATATGCATAGCATTACGGGCTGGCTTAAAATTAACTTAAGATTAACTAAGCAATGATGAAATCAGTGATAAAACATTATTGTAAACAGATAACTATAAAGCACAAATGAGTATTACAAAGACAGGTCATATGGTTGCATGCATTGCTGTACATTCAGTCGAATGGAGTATTCTGTTAGGTATTGTATTTAAAAAAATAACAAAGTTAGATTGGGTCCTAGGTTTAAACATTTGTGTGATATAATTGTGAGTAACATATAGGATATACAATTTATAAGGTTCAGTTATTCAGTATTTATTTGGTTTTGAGTGAGTAAGTGATCTTTGAGAAGAGACTTGAATTTATAAACAGGTAATGTTTTCTTTATATTTACAGGTAATGAATTCAGATTTTAGGGCCTTTTTATGTGCATTGAGTTTTTGCATAGCGTGAGATGGACAGAGGAACATCAAAGAGTGATCTGTGCCTTGTGTTATGGTCATGTGTTCTGTTGAGGTGGCAAGGAGATGTTTGAGGGGAGGGTTAATATCAGAGTTAAGTGTTCTATGTATGTAATAGGTGCAGTAATACGTATGGATGTTTTGTATGGTGAGTAGGTTGAGTGTTTTGAATATTGGTGGAGTGTGCTGCTGTAGTGAGAATTTGTTATTCTAACTGCAGCCTTTTGTGTGGGTAATTAGTGGTCTGAGATGGTTAATTGTTGTTGAGCCCCATGCACAATTCCATAGGTGAGATAGGGGTAAATAAGAGAGTGATAAGGGCCAGGAGGGCTGACTGTGGAACATAGTACCGTATCTTCGATAGTATGCCTACAGTCTTGGAAATTTTCTTAGAAATTTGTTGTATATGTTTATGAAATTTGAGTCTATTATCAAGGTGGATTCCTAAGAATTTTCCCTCTGTTAGCTTTGTGATATGTGATCTGTTTATCGTTATGTTAAGAGGTACATCTGTAGCTCTGTTACCAAACTGAATGAAGTAGGTTTTGTCAATGTTTAGTGTAAGTTTGTTAGTCCTCATCCAGGTAGATATTTTCTGTAATTCGGTGTTTACAGTATTAGCTAGCGTGACTGGGCTCAGGTGAGAGAAGACGTATGTAGTGTCATCTGCAAAAAGTGTGGGTTTGAGTAAT